TGATTGATTGATTGATTGATTGATTGATTGATTGATTGATTGATTTTCTTCTTTCCATCTGTGTAGATGTGTTCATCTTTTTATAAATTTTCATTATGTATTTATTGTTTTAACTTGATGTAAACCACCCAGAGTCCCCCATTGTGGGGAGATGGGCAGGGATAAGTCTATGTATAAATAAAATAAATAAATAAATTTCCTCCTCATAATTAGCTGTGTGACAGAGGGAGGCTACAGTACTGCCAATGCTACCTGTCCCCAGACTGCTTATGGCAGTTGTTGCACTCAAACCAAATTCTTAGGAGGAATGTGGTTCACTGCCTCAAAAAGTTAAGAGCTTGACCTGTGTCTATTGCCAAAGTCAGAATTTGGAAGCTACTGGGAACCATGTAGCAGCCCCCTTTTTTAGTAGTTTTAGGAATTTAGAACTCCATCCTAGACATTTTTGTGCCAGAAGTAGATAGTGAAAAGATAGGCTTCTTACCAGTGTGCCAGCCTTATTTTGTGGCTATACAGACTTCCAAATTTATAAATCAAATAATTTAAATATCTAGTTCTAGATAGTAGAACTGGTTTCACATATCACGCTGAGTAAATACCAAGTTACCCACATTATGCCTTAGTGTTACGTAAGAATCCAATTTATGAGTTCGTCCAGTCTAAACTGGTTACCCTTAATGGGATAATTTAAAGTGTGATTTGATTTTCACAAATATTTCCTTAGGACCTAAGTGCAACAAATGTAGCCTGGGTCTTCCCCATTCTTTCAGAACTCAAAAATTCATCAGTAATTTACCATTACCTTTCCAAATCCTACCAAGACCAAGTGGCCATGGGTGTTTGGGCTACCCAGATCTGGAGATATTCCGTCTTTGATCTTGGATGGGGTTGCACTTCCCCCTTCAAGGTTGGTGTGCAGTCTGGGGATACTCCTGGATTCGCAGCTTCTGCTTTAAGAGCAGGTGGCAGCTGTGGTCAGGAAGGCCTTTGTCCAACTTCATCTGGTGCACCAGTTGCGCCCTTTCCTAGATCAGGGGGACTTTTAGACAATCTCTCATGCCCTAATCACCTCATGGTTTGACTACTGCTTTACATGGGGTTGCCCTTGAAGACCACCTGGAAGCTTCAACTGGTCCATAATGCAGTGGTGCAAGTAGTGATGTGTATTCCTTGGTATGCCATGTAACACCTCTTTGCAAGCTACACTGCTTTCCAGTTTGTTTCTGGGTGTGATTCAAGATGCTAGTTGCTACCTAAAAAGCCCCTCAAGGCATAGGGCCTGGTTACTTGTGAGACTGCCTGTCTTCCCTAGTATCTGCCTGGCCAATTTGATCTTGCAGGATTGGCAGACTCCAGGTTCCTTCGATTAAACAATACCATCTTTTGGGACCCCAAAAGCATGCCTTCTCTATAGCAGTGCCTGCCCTCTGGAACAAGGTTCGCTCCGAAATCCAGATGGCCCACACTCTGCTGTTGTTTAGAAGAGCCATGAAGACGTGGCTCTTCACGCAGGCCTTTGGTGAGGGAGAGGGAGACCCCTCACTTCATTCCATCCAGTCTGTCATTCTTGCACTCTTTAATTGTTTTATTGTAATTTCTTTGTTAGCTGCCCAGAGTCATTGGGAGTTGGGCGGCATACAAGTTTTTGTTGTTGTTATTAACTTTTGTATCTTCTAAGTGGTATGCCTTTGAGCTACATAGTACCAGTTTGAAAAGCTGGAGTTAGTACTATCATAGGTATAATTGTAATACACAAGAGGCAATTAACTCTTCAGTTCAAAGTATAGCATGATGAAATGTCATTGAGATCCTGAGAGCTATGCCATATTTTCAACTTTTATTTTGCTGGACTGCACCATAAACCCAGTTCATATTCTTATTTCAGATATGGTGAAGTCTGCAGTCTATGACTTTGTACTGTGTTGGGAGTGGACTTAAAATAGTCCTGACAGGGAAACCTTGGCATTTCATATACTGTACAAGCTTTTCAAAGTGAAATAGTATCCTGGAGTTCAGTGTTTTTCAAACTTGGCAACTTTAAAATGTGTGGACTTCAACTCCCAGAATTCCCCAACCAGCATGTTAGCTGGGAAATTCTGTGAGCTGAAGTCCACACATCTTAAGGTTACCAAGTCTGAAAAACACTGCTGTAGTAATTACCGAACGGTATAGTGTAGAACTTAAATTTGTTGTCCTGTAAACGAATGCTTAATAATGGTGGTGTAAATGCACATAAGTTGCCTGGTAGATAATCCCCAATTGCTTAACATTGATTTTGGGGTAGATCTTTGTTTTGCTTTGCAGACAGTGTTTTATAGATTTATTTGCATTTCATTAGATTTGAAATGTCTTAAACCTTTCCACATTTGTCTTTGAATTGACAGGGATGCCCTCAAGCTTTTAGAGCAGAAACAGAAGCAAAAGCCTATAGAAGCAAAGCCTGTGGTTTCTTCACTTCCCCCACACCAAGCTGGAATGCCTTTATCTGCACCATCAACAAGCGTGCCCAGCGCTTCACGTCTTCCAGTTCCCCCTGTCTCTGTGCCAGGCCGGCCATCTTCCATGGTATTAACTGTTTAAGATTTATAGATACGCTAAAATCACTGCATCACATTAGATAAAAATAAGCGATAGGGTTATACCAGAAGGGTTTTAGAATTCAGTTTAGAGGGTTTTCTTTAAATAACTATTTGTTTTTATTTATTTATGCAACTTACAGGCCACACCAATCTGTTATGATTCTGGGTGGACTTCAGTAGGAACTGTAATAGACATTTATACATGCCTTGTAGTTTACGCCTACATAGAACATTCATTTTGGTTTAAGAAAGCTATAATTGGCAACACAGTTATTTAGAAAACATTATATATTAAAGCTCAGTTTTTTCCACCACTAAATTTTATGGTTTAAAGGATGTCCTTTATTGTTATGACCCTATTTCATTGAACTCATCTTTCTTCCTTTAATTTAATAAATGTGTTTTTATTGCAAGAGCCCATTCACTGAAGTCCCTGCTAGCAACATTAGAAGAGTTATTGCTAAGAAACTAACAGAATCAAAAAACACTGTACCTCATGCGTATGCATCAGCTGATTGTGACCTTGGTGCTATACTAAATCTGAGGCAAGAGCTGGCAAAAGGTAAAACTCTTTCCTATGTTTTAAAAACAACTATTGAATTCTGATCTGTCTGCTTACCTGTTCTGCATTTACTGCAGGGGCTTCTCAAGCTATTCTCCTGTTCTGAAAAGAAATAAAATGCCTGTCAAAATTCTGCCTTTGATCTTACGTGTAGTTGAGTATTTTAGTTTGCATGTGTGACATCTCTTGCAGTCCAACATCTAACATGGATATTTGTTAATTTGGTTTTGATGACCACTGTCCTGATGTTATTCTCATAGGCAGAGGATTTCTATTTAATGCTTTTTTTTTTTTTGCTTAAGAGTTAAGCAATTGTCATACACCTACCCACAAAACGAATCTGCAAATTCCACTATCAACCTATTCACTTGAATGGTTTTATGTTTTGAATGAAGCATTTCAAGGTTACCACTTAATTAGCAGCCTTAGGAGGTACAGAGGGCAAATTCTTTCATTAGAATTCTAAACAGGTACGATTATTCAAATGATGATAATGTTTTTCCACTTCAGCCATCCCTTGCGAGCTTTATGTTTGTTGTGAACACATTTTACTGCAACTGACAATGAGGGTGGGGAGACAGAATTCCACCTTTCAGTTTGCCAACAAGAGATTTCTATCGCTGCTTATTGCTTTGCATAGAGTTTGAATGCGTGGCATATTTTTTCTTATTGCTGGTAAGCTATAGATCATTACAGCAATTTGGAAGAAAGTTTAGATAGCAAAGTTCAGTACTAATTGTTGGCTATATTTTTCTAGAATTTATCTTTTTCCTTAAACATGTGTGGAAAAGTTCATACATAATGAACTTGCATGTACAATGTTTTAAAGAACAGTAACTGCTCTAGACAGAATCACTTATTTGGAGGTATTTTAACTGGTTTTAAAATACTGTTTCTTAAATTTAGAACTATGGAAACCACAGACTGTCCACTGTTTACATAACAGTTAGCTCTTTTTCTTTCTGTGTCAGCATTCTTTGCCTAAGTATGATAGGCATACATAGAAGATAAAAGGTGATTATCATTGATTAGGATGTACTGCAGGTATTGTTGTGTATATTTACTTTTTAAAAAATATATTTTTCTTTGTACTACAGATTTGCTATCAAGTCATGTCTCAAAATACTTTAAAAAGTTCCCTTGGTTTCAAAAGTATTTTACCATGATGATCTGGTATTTAAAAAAGAGACTTTGTTTAAACCTACTTTCTTATATTTGTAATGGATGGCATGAGCGGGGAAGATTCTGGAATGGAACTTCAAGGTTGTCTGGAAGGGGGAGAGACATTCCAGGGCAAGCACCTCCTCAGCCCACAACAAGAGTGTGGGAAGATGAAGAGGATGAGGCTGGCCCCGCCCTAGAGTTTCACGGCGTTTATCCACTAGTTGCTATAGCATAGGTTTAGTCTGGCAAGATTCTGTCTGTTAGGTGTGAGCTAATAAAGGAACTGAACTGTATTGGATTGCCTCGTTGTTGTTCTTGGGCTGAACCTGACATATTGGACTAATTAACAACAACAAAAGGAGAATAAAAACAATATCGACAATATAATATAATGCAAAACCAAAAAAAAAAAAGGGCTAAGCAATTGTGTTATAAAGAGAACATTCAAAATGTTCACTATATTGCTCAAAAACAGTTTCTTTGCTTCTTCCAAAGGTTGACAACCAGCAATCCACAGCTGTAATTCACATGTTGATATTTCCTTCCAGTATTCTGTAATTCATTTATCTAGCCCCTATGCCCCAAATATATACCTTGAAATCTTGGTAATTTCCAAACACTGGGGAGAGCCAAGAAGAATGTACACCTCTTTAATGCACAGCTGTCATCCAAAGTCATATTCACAACTGAATTAGTTTAAATCCAAAATGTGATAATAATGGGATAAGTCCAAATCCTATCAGTTAATATTCCAACTCACGAGTTTCATCTTAGCAAGGCAGTTGCTACCTTATTAATTATTCTCTATATTTTTATTGTTGTATTAACTTCATTTAAGATCATAGTGAATTGAATATCATATTATTTAAAACAACCCTCCACTGGTTTCTCTGGACAGGAAATTCACACTCATTCATTGGATGAAGTGAATTGTGGCTCACAAAAGCTTGTGCCTTTTAATAAAATTTCTTAGTTGGAAAAGGTGCTGCCAGACTCCTTCTGATAGGTTGCATTAGTAACTACGGTAGTAAATTGCCCAGAGTCAGTTTGGAGTCAGGTGGGAAAATCAAATCAAATAATATCAATTTCATCGACTTCCTATTAAAAGAAAGGCTGTTGACTTAGGAATCATGATTGATTTTTCCATGACCTCCATCCACTATGAAATTTCCACAAGTAGCAATAACATTTGGACCTCATAGATATATTGTATAACAAATGCTTGAGCTGAATAAAATGCCAGGAAGCACTCTGCTGTAAAACAGATTTATTTTTTCATTCTTCAAAAGTTTTTTTAAAGGCCCAGGTGATCTAAAATAATAGTACTATGAAAGGCCCGGTTTACCCAAAAGACAGATTTGCCTGTTTTTTTAAAAATGGGACAATCCCACAATATAAGTTTTTAATGGGTGGAAGGATCAAAATTATATATGTGATCCAATTTTTTAAAAATATCTTGTAGTATGGGTATTAAAGCTGATCCCCATAGAATCAGAGGGGATTTGTTAGGATCAAATAGCCCAGATCAGCTGGGCTATTTGTTAGGATTTCACTGTGGCCAAATAACAAGTCTTTCACTGAGCCCAAAGAGGAGATGAATAAGTAAGTTCTTGATTCCATTTAGTGATCAAAGCTTGGATAAATAAACCTGAAAGTGTGAGAAGTTACAGCCACCTTTCCCAATAGATAATTGTAAATTTCACAGTGAAAAGCATACGGGGTATCCTTGCCAAAGAAAGTAACCAGTGTCCTATAAATTAATTTAAAATAATGTGATAGAATAAATGTAGAAAACATCTCAAAACATAATCACAATTACCTTAGCCCAAATATTAAAAAATATTCTAGACTATCTGTCTAGATCTTTTATTTTCATCAACTTGGAGGACACGGTCAAATCAGTTGAGAAACTTTCTTATTTTAAAATGTAAACCAAGGAGTCAGAATATAACCTAAAATTCCAGTTTTTATGCTTGACAAAATTATTGCTATGAGCCATAGGATCCAGTCTGATTTATTGCAATTTATAGAATAACTGAACAGAATACAGAACTCATGTATTAATGAGGAGCTAAACCACCACTTTCTATACCTGTCTATAAACTATAACATATCTGCATGTAGTAGAATCTAATTCTCCTATCCTCCTACTGTAATTCCACTAAGGTTTTCAGCTTTCAAACAGTAACAAGTAAAAGAGAAAAAGGAAAAAAATATGAACAATCTAGGCATATCAACTATTTATCAGGCATTAAACAATATATTAAACTTTCAGATGAAAAAAAAATATTGTAAAGTATCATTAATTGGTGGCTGGGAAAGGTACCAGCTTTATTTTGGTCTGCCTTATCTGTTTGTTGTATATGGTTTGGATCACGTGTTTGACTGTGTGATAGATCATAGCCAGCTCCATTGATCTGTTAAAGGGACCATTAACATTACCAGTCACCAACACATTGATTGATCACAGGAGACCTTCAGTCACCAACCAATCCCTAAGTTCAAATCTTATGCAGACTAGAAATACAGCCAGGCAGTTCCCTTCTGAATTGTTGCACCGAAGAAGCCTCACTGGGATAAGGGGTGAAACATCTGCAAAAAATTGATCAATATCTCAGCACTGATCTCCCAAAGCCCAGAGAACCCAACCACAAGATGTATAGAGTTTTAATTGAATTGACAATTTCTGGAATTTAAAATAGGGATAGGATTCAGTCTTTGATGTGAAGTATTGTGAAGTATTAATGTATTTGAATCTCAGCCATTATAATCAACAAAATTCATTATACTGAATGGTTGACTTCTGTATATTCAGATACTAACCTCTTTTAAATTATTGTGGTTGCAACATCATTTTAGATGCTAAGGGTTGCTGTAGTGAAGAGGTAAATTATAACAATATAAAGTTAACAATAAAAAATGCCACATGCTATAAAACAATTCTGTAATATAGAGAAATGGATCAGTGACTGATCTCTATTCAGCTGAAGAGATTTATTACTGTCTCAAAATTCAGAACTACCAAGAATCTTCAAGCTGAACTATTAACCAGGAAGAAATGGTTTTATGATGGTTAAATCTTTTAGACTTTGCAGCTGTGCAGTTAACTTCCTTCCTACACTCTGTTATTGTTAACCTGATTTCAGGATTTGTCAATGATTTTATCTCATTTAAATGAGATGTCACATACTTATGACTGAACAGATATAAAACAATCATTTTGATTGTTCCACTTCATGCATGACAGAATTTATAGTGCTTCTTTTGGAGCTTATTTTCAGACTTAATAATAGATTTGGGAATAATGGTAGATTGATGCATAAAAGTTATAAATTGTTTTTCATTCACTGATTACTTGCTTTGTTTCTGTCAGCCTTACGAGGTAGATTAGCCAGGAAACACAACCAGTTGAGCTAACTATACTTTACTGTAAAGCTACATTAACAGAATGTTGCAAGTCTGAAAGTACAGTTCTCCCCTCATCTCCTTTACAGCCTGAGAAACTAGGGAGGGTCCCTTCTGAGCCTCCTGCTCTGCCCACTATGCAGCTACGGGCTATGCTGTCTCTTATCTGACCGTTCCCTCGGCAGCATCTTTTTGCCCAGGCTCCCAAGGTCTTTCCCACATACCATTACAGTTTCTCTTATTAAAATTATGAATTATAATAATTTATGAATGAGAGTATGAATCATATCCTGCGCTGATTTATTTTTACTAAAAATAACAACTTCAGCTTCAGTTAAGTAGATCTGTACACAGTATAGTTCTATTAATTTATGTTCAATTAAGTATAATTATTATGTTTCATTCTTTGCTGTTACATAATCATGTTTGCACATCAGCTGCGTTTCAGTATGTAACATTCAAAGGGATTTTATGTTCTATTTGGTAGAACTCTTTTTGCTTCCAGTTATATTTTATTGACACACAACACACTCACACATGTATGTATGTATGTATATAGATTTTCATTTCATCATTACAGCAATGATGTTCAAAACAAACATGAGTTAAGCTATTATAATAACTTTGAAGACTTTGAAGTATAGCTTAACTCATGTTTGTTTTGAACATCATTATTGTAAAGATCCTGAGAATCATTGATTATGTGAGGGTTGAAATGAGACCCAAGGTTACTCAGACCAGAGATGGCAGTTATGGGCTGATGAACTTCAAGCCACCAATCAGCACCAATTAATTCATGAGAAGAGCAAGAGCATAAAGTTTCAAGTTTCAACTAATGTGGCTGTAGGAGTCACTTGAACCAAATCATGGGCAGTGTGGGCAATCAGCTGTTTTGTATAGCTTTATTCTTGTCTGCAAAAAAGATTCTTCTTTATCTGAGCCATGACTCTGAGATGTCTTCCAGATCTAGCCTAGAAGCCAAGCTAAGCCTTGAAATGCCAAGAGATCTGTGATTTTTTTGGGTGATCCTGGCCAACAAGTCTGACAGCTTGATTGCCCGCTCATTATTTCCACTGTTATTTTGCAAATAGCAAATGGGGATTAATACAACAGTTACTGATGCGGCAGCTTTACTGCCCACCAGTTAAGCTGGCATTGCCTTATCTAATATCGGAACCAAGAGGTCACCCAGATAGACCAGTTAGTCCTTGCGATGAACGAACTTGATTCAGCACTTGGGAGAGAGTTAGCCACCACAGCCAGGCCCTCTCCTAAGGAAACTGCAAAATGAGGAAAATGCAAAACATCTTCATCCTCCTATTGATTCAAGCCAGCCTAAATTTGGACAACTTTGGCAATTTGTGGAACAGATAATAGCTGATTCTGAGGAATTATTATGGCCTTACATTAAAATAGTTAAGATTGATTCTTGGAGGCTTGACATGTTGATAACGATGGCATGAAGAAACATAATTTGAAATGAAGTAGATAATTTATAAATTCCACAAAAATATAAATTGACATGGATGTGATTTTGTATTTAACAGACGTTCAGAGAGAATGGATCCCTCTGCTCTTGAATAGTCCATTAGATCAAGGTTTTACTCTATATGGCTTAATTCTGAAATGAAATTTTCTATTGCTTGGACAATCTCACAGGGATTGCTTGGTCCTTGCAGGGGAAAATACCAGGTAATTCTAGAGCTATCAAGTAGAGTGGAAAGTAGAAAAATATCATTGAAGGAGTTGATGACAAGCTCCTTCTGTATTGTTCCTAGGTGTAAAAAATAGAGGGGATGGGCTTGACAGAGGGAAGATCCATTACCAAGGCAAATAACAGATAAATAAGGATTAAGCCCATAAAAGGTAGAGATTAACAAAAATGCCTAAGGCAGGCACCTCCCTAATTCACATGAAGACAAAAGAGGGAAAAGGGGAAGCACATTCAGGCTTGCAAGTTTGTGTTGTTATAGCTATTGTAATAAAAGTAGTTTTAGCCCTATATGATGTCTGTTTCCTGATCTGGTCACCTTGTAGGGCTGATACCAGGAAAATTGCATAGGCAAGTTCATGAAATCATGAAGAGTGAGGCTTAGCCCCAAAGGAAACTTGTGCTATGGCACAAATAAGTTTTGAACTTCAAATTTGTGGTACTGTGAAAATTAATGCTACTATGAAAATAAATGATTGAAATGTTTTGACCATATGATTTTCCATGTCTGGAATGCTAGTTCTCCTATTAATCTTTGCCTCGTAATTTATCTATCTCTTTCCCACAGATGATGTTAAAGTATCCATAAATGACTTTATTATCAAGGCAACTGCAGTTACCCTGAAAGTAAGTAGTCCGTCCTGCAAAATGTACCGTCACACCCTGTTCCTGCCTCCTCAATGATTTCTTAAATCTGTATTTTTCTGGGACCATGTTCCAGACCAGGAAAAGATGTTTTTTTAAGGTGCTACTAACAGGTCAGTGAATGCTTTCAAGCCAGATACAAAGTACCCTTAAACAACTCCTGCCTTGGAGAAAAGTTGCAAAAAAATGTGCTAAATGACTACATCTAGTCACAGAGCTTTTCTTTTTTGTGTATTTACCATTACATAGGAGGTTTAAGCACCCTGATTTCAACATTCTTTTATAAAATGTCATGAGATTTGGCAGTGATGAGATTATTGTTGTAGTTCCTCTTATTAAATATAATGGATCATGGGCACTGATATTGGGGGTGTTTGGCACCATGTTATCTTTTCTACCATGTACTTCAAGTAATGGCAAATTTAAACCAAATATATTTATCATTTTATTGCTTTTCAACTACTGTATTGTATATATATAGCTATATAGGTTTATAGCCTCCAGTTCAGTGAATGTTATTTCTGTTGATATCTCCCTAGAAATAGAAACAAATATTCCTTCCAAAATTTTATTTTAATTTCAGCTAATATTCTGATATTTCCAAGCCATTACATCTAAACTTAGTATTTAGTCTATAATGTATTTGCTTGATACTCACTTATATCTAAGCTCACTACAAGATGCAATCCGTTTAGTTGGTCTTTATGAAGAAACAGGCAAAATCCTTAAATAAAAGGATCTGTTTCCATAAGTATAATAGAGAAAACTAAATACTAACCTTCCACTAATTCCTTCTACTGCTATTTCTTTCTAACCCATCATTGATATTGGTTCCTATAATATGTTTAGAATTACATTATAACACAAAATAAAAAATGTATTTAGTTGTTATTAATAAGGTTGTACTTTGTTACCACATGGTGCTAATTCTAGCTCGATGAAGTTTTATGTTATACCATGTTGTAGCAGGTAAAGTCATTCAGCAAAGGAAGTTGCTTTAGACTTTGTTGTCTTTAGTTTTCCCTTGTGTTCCCCTCTTCAGTCTAAATTCTATGAATTTTGGGGAGCTGCTTATTAATGACTTACCAAAGGACATGCTTTGTTTCTATTATTTAAATTTGGTTGGATGAAGGGGTGCATAAGTGAACCTCTCTCAGATATGCCCACCAAACATGATATGAGAGATGGAGAAAAGGATAGCCTTATTCTGTGGCTGTTGTTGAAAACCTATGATAGTCCTAATGATATTTTCCTCTGCCAAAAAACTGCCGCCTTGAATTGCCAGAAATGAACATAGAAGTGGTCTTAGACAAACAAGTATTGTCATGGATAATTATCTGAACCTGTAATTCCATAATCTCTGCAAAGGTCGGAGGAATGCTCTCTACCCTAATCTCTGTCTCTTATTATATCTCATCCTCTGTTTTAAATGCATATCTTGGTGCTGAAAATGTAGTTGAGATGTGAGCCACTTGTAGCCATAGGGTTACTTAGCATCATCCTGAATTTATGTGGTCCTTGATCTAATTTCAAAACATTTCTGCAAGCAGTTCAGGTCTTTGGTCCCTTTTCTGCTAGCCAGCTGTGTGAGAGAAGGGAAGAGAGCCAGAAGCAAACAAAAAAGAGCATTCAATGGATTAAAAGAGAGATGGCAAAAGGGAAAGTAGGTAGCTCCATCTAGATTTGACTCTGACCCCATCTACAGCTCAATTAGGCCCTGTCCATCATTGGCATGTGGCCCCCAATAGTTTACCTTTGAGCGAATCTGGGACTCAACAGAAAAAAGTTTCCCACTGATTAAAGTAAAATATTCTAAAATGTTTAATTGCTCTGTACTTGTTTTACGTGCAACTGGATATAGATTTGAATTCTTATGTGTGCAACACATGGATGGTTTCTGTGAAAGCTGTGTGAGTAAATGATAAAATGAATGGAATAGTCAGTATAGTTATTGGGAGCTTTTCCCTTCCATTCTCATCTTGCCCAATATAGTGCCAGAGGTTATTGATAGCCCTCTGTAGACTGAGGTGTGTGATGGTCAAAGAAATGGCTTTGGAATAAAAAAAAAATCATGTTTTTTAGATCATGCCAGATCACAAGTAGCTTTTAGAAGTCTATCAAATGTTGAAATCAAAAGGTTGAAACATTTTTTGTTGTAGTTTAATTATCCACAGAATAAAGTTTCTTTATTTACTCAATTTATACTCAACCTTTCTGCTTGGACAAGTACTCAAGATGGTTTATTAAAAAACACAGTACAAAATTGCATGGCCTTGTTAACGAAAATTATTGAAAAAACACTGCCTAGGCAGTTACTACTTTTCTTCAGAAGCTGAAGCAGAAGAAATTGTCATAAAGCTAAATACAGCTGTGCTTGAGAGTATATTATGTTAATCCAAATAAGACATGGGTTGCCAACATTGCAAATCTTAGCCATTACATACTTCCAGGGTTAAGTGCAGTTAGTGGTGGGAAGTATTCATGGTCTTTTTCTCAGGTGCTGTAAAGAAAAGGGCATAATCCTAATTGGCTAATTTGCTTTTCTAGAATAAGCCAAGGTGTATTTTACCCATATATGCAACTATGTATTAATTAATTTATTTACTAATCATCTTTCTGGATTAGACAATTTACATTGCAAAATATAAAAATCTGTGTCAACATATTAAGTTCATAAAGTATATAACGTCATAGCACATAAATTTAAGAATAAACAAGTTAAATCAACCCCAACAATCAACATTCTTACCAAGATCCATCTTAAATCTCAGACCAGGCTTGTCAATTGTTAAGATTTTCTCTCCTACCTGGATACAGTTTCCATTCCTTAATCCATAAGAATCTTTCAGTACCACTTGTCTTGAATTTTACCTTTTATATGGTTAGTAGAAAATACTACTTGTAAGTGCTAAGATATAAGTTATAATAATAAGATAAGATATAATGTTCCAACTTCAAACCTTTGAAGACTTTTCAAAGAGTCATGTGGGGGTTAGCTTGCTTTTTCCACTCAGCTACTCATAGATTGTGAAAATTAATTCTGAATATTGTGGGACACTTCTAAGCAGCATACATTATATGGTGTGAAAAATTGCAGCTGAAAAGAGAAATTGGCAGTGACAGTTTGTCAGTGCATACATTGGCATGATGAAGGCATGTGTGGCTCTCATTGAATCAGTGTGGGCTCACATTATTAGGAGAATACAACAAGTTGAATTAAAGAGTCAATATGCTATTTTTAAAATTAGCTTTCTACTTCTAATGAAAGCCCAGAATATTAAAGGGGAAAAAACCCTAAAGAAAACTTCAACCAAATGTTAAAATGTCAGAGTTGACTTTTGAAATTAAGGTTTCAGATTAGACAAATCTATTTGGTTCTCACTTCCATGCAGTGATGTGACTCCCCCCACTCCTTTTTAATTTTTTAATATTGATCTCTTTTTCTCTTCTCCTCCTGATTCAAATGGGAACAGAAATTCTATAAGTCTTCCATTATGTTTTTGGACAGAATGTCACAGTTCTTTACTAGCAAGGAATAAAATGAGAGTTGGCTTCCAACAAGTTTGAATTTTGTTAATAATGTTATAGTAATCCAGAAACTGCATAAGCCCATTTATCTTCTGGTTGCCTGCAGCTATAAAATGCCCATGTCCACAATTTGCATTCATGTTTTGTGACAAAATTGACATACCCTAATAAGATAAGTCTATTTTTAGGGTCACTTGGCCTTTTTTTTTTTTTTGCTATTATTAACTTTATCTTGCTTAAGGCAAATAATTTCCCATATGTTATTGCTTCTATCACCACAATTCTAAAAGGCTTTTTAAAACTTCATAATTGGTTTCACTGCTACTTTTTTAACAGCTGTGCCTCCTTCTGTTTCTGTTTCTTCCAGCAAATGCCAGATGTGAATGTGACCTGGAACGGAGAAGGCCCCCAGCTGCTGCAATCTATAGACATTTCTATAGTTATGGCAACAGACCAAGGTTTCATTACACCTATCATAAAGGATGCTGCAACCAAGGGAATTCAGGAAATTGCTGCTTCTGCAGAGGTGGGTATGCAGATACACCGTACTCTTTTAGACCAAAAATTGAATTATATGGTCCCTCAGAAAACATCCACAGTTCCTTTGATCATGTCTTTTCAGTTGGCTATAAGACATTTCTTTTCTTTTTTAAAAAAATATTTTTATTGATTTAAAAAAATGATAATAAAAATACAAACTAAACATAGAAAGGAAAAGAAAAATAAAGAGAGGATAGAAAGTACAAGGGATGAAAAAAAGGAAAGAATAAAGAGAAAAAAATAAGGAAAAGAGAAAAGAAATATTTAAAGAAATGACTTCCAATCTTCATCACAGGTACAAACAAACTCAGTAATTCTTCACCCTCTATAAGGATAATGCAAGTTCTTCCCATAACCCATCCCTTATCCATATACAAATCTATAAATCATGAATTTTCAGTCCTGGTGTCAGCAAAAAGTCCATAAAGGTCTTAGTCCAGAAACTTTTAGTCTATCAAAGTCCAGAATTTTATAGAACTATGTCTTATTTTAACCTTGGTCAAACAAACCAACTTTGTATCCTTCCTTTTGCTTCTAGGAATCTTTAATTAATTCAGATGTTGTTGTAGGATTTGATGTCTCTTCAATTTTTCTTTTTCCCATCTCAAAGACTTCTTCAAGGCTTTAGCAAACCTCTTTTGTAAATCCAGTAAGGAGTCATTACCGAAGTCATTCTCTTGGTTTATCATTTGTATTTCCACTTTAACTGTCTTATAATCCAGAGGTTTTTTTCTCTCCCAGTCTTTCAACAATTTCTTTATATTCTAATATTTCTGTATCAGATGAAGTTTGTTTCAGCTTTTTATCCTGTAGATCTTCTAAGGTACATTCTTTCACATCGGTCATGTCTTCTGTAACATCTTCTGGACATAGTCTATCCATAGAAGCAGACATCATTGCTAACATCATGGCTACTAGTTTGATAGCTACTAGATATTCCTCAAATATCTCCTGGAGTAGTTCAAATGTCATACAGTATCATTTTCTTTCATTTTGTCCCAATGCTGACCAAAGCCTGTCTCTCTCTTTTTTTCTTTTCGTGCCTGGAATCTTTATTCCACTCTAGTGTCCAATTTCTGGAATCATAAAGTCTCAAATTTCTGTTATGATTTAAGGTAGACTAAACAATTTAGTTCTCATGAAGGTGGTGTTTATTTATATAATTATTTCTATAATCTTATAATAAAACTAATATTCCAAATTGGTCTGAATCCTTAATTTGTTTGCAACTTTCTTGAATTAAAGTCTTATTTAGCTTTTTGCCATTTATTTCAAATTCTTTAAAATCTTAAAGTTATAGTTAATTTTTCTTTTATTCTGGAATGAAGGTAAACTTACCAGGTGGCTTTGCAGACTTCTTGTTTTGAAGATTTCTAATAGCCTTAAAATAGTTAAATAGGTAATTTCCGAAACTGATTAGAAAGTGAGGTTAGTGAACCCAGCATCCTTAAAAAACTCCGCTGTGGTTGAGAGCACTATGGCTTCCCTTCATCTCCTAGTGCTCAAATCCGCAGGAAACCGCTATCCTGTGGTCTCCTCATGAGGAGCAGCTGTCCAGAGTACAGGTGGGCAACCTCCCATCCTCTTCTTACCCAGAGAGAGTCCATGGGACTGGTCATAGCCGCATTGTCATCTCTACTTATTTGGAGAAGTGCTAGCTCGCCATGCCTCACTGGAAATCTCAGCTGTAAGGCATTTCTGATCATCTCCCTGTCATAGGAGTGACTGTTTGACTCATGACAAGTTTCTAAGGTTTTTAGAAATTATCATCAATGAATATATTTGCTTCTGATCTGTTTATCTCAATGTTGTATACCCTTGCAGGCTGCACATGTTGTTCTTTTCCTCATAGAGTTATTATCTCCACTCCAAACAGGAGCCTGAGGTTCTAAAAGATAAAGATCTTCCTAAGACTTTGTGAGTTCATTGGAATAATGAGATTTGAATCAAGTTCTTGATTTGTAGCTCAGTCTTTAAACTTTACCAGCATAACAAAAGCCAAAAGGAAGAATTCTTGAACAAGTAGAATCATTATAATGACAGAGGGGAATATCTAAAGATTGTTAAGCTTAGTGATGGGAACCAGACAGGACTGAAGGAAACTCCTGTCTGTCTGTCTGTCTGTCGATGACCGTATTTTTTTTCTGCACAGGAATTATGGAAAAGAATTATATATGCTGGATAAAACTTACTTTATTGAACATTTATCATTCCTATTGATCCCTAACTATGGTTGTCTGGTAGTTAAGAACAAAGAACTGTGCTGGATCAGACCAAAGGCCTTTCGTTGTCTGCCATTCTGTTTTCTCAGTAGCCAATCAAATATCTATGTCAGGCCTATTATTCCATCTAATACACCCATAACTGTAGACTGTGTAAGATCTTTTCCATAATCTACCTGTTTCATCGTTGGAGCTCTTTATTTGACAGTTTTTCTTTTTTCTCAATTCTCTTGTCACCATGTATTGCCTAATCTACAAAAATTATTCTTGTCTTCCCAATTATTATTATATCTGGTGGGTTGTATTCCAAATGGCAATCAGTTTGTATATGAAAATCCCATAAAATGTTAACATAACTTTCAACAACTTTCTCAATTTTCTGATCATAGCACATTTGGAAAATCTGAAAATATAGTTTTTGCACAGATGACAATGGATAATTGCTACTTTGTCATGACATTTGCTATATGTCAGTCTGAGCAATTTTGTTGTATCCCTTAATTATGTGATCCACAGTTTCATCTTTTTCTTTTAAAAGTCTGCATTTGCTGCTGTTTGATACACACTGTACTGAATCTTTCATTTCATCATGCTTGTAATGCTAGTTTTTGAACTGCAAAAATTAATCTTTCTATTTCCTTTTTAATGGCGCCACCTTGCAACTATTGCCACTTCCTTGTCTTGTCCATGTATTGACAATGTTGTTGTTTGATTTCCTGGAATATTATTGGCAAGAAGAAGCTAAAAGGTAGAATATCTACATTGAGAAAATCAGGATGTGACATATAAAGAAATATGATAAAGGGAAAAATCTGAGATTCAGACATTCAATAAATATTGGACTTTAAATTGGAGATGTAATTTTGAGCCAAGAATGTAGGTTTGTAGCAAGCTATTATCTATGAACTGAAAGTGATTGCAGCATTATTATATACTATTATTATTGACA